ATGGGTAATGAAGAAAAACTTTAACATAACAGCAAATGTACAACGTTTCGACAAAACTTTGTCGAAACGTTGTACATTTGCTGTTATGTTAAAGTTTTTCTTCATTACCCATTCAAGCCGTCTCCAGCCATTATTACTCCTAAATGAATATTTTATACCTTGTTTTCTCTACCTTAACCCTAACTGAAAAGAAGTCATCGATGTACAGTAAAATGAAAAGTTGAAAATTATAAAATGAATTGAATAATACTTTTTATCTTCTTTCAATGCGTAGTTTATTTACTTTTTTTTACAATTACGTATCATCACAGTTTTAACTATTAACTTTTTCACACCTCTTTGCTTTATTTCTTTTATTATTTTATTGCCTTTTTAGGAGTAATTTGCCCTCTATTAAAGTAACAAACCACAGTGGGACCCTCTTAGTTGTTTCATGCATAAGCATAATCTTCTCCCCCAGTTGTTATGTCTACTGGCATACAACGCTAGAAATCGGGTTTCGATACCCATGGGGGACAGAGTACAGATAGCCCATTGTGTAGCTTTGTGGTTAACTTAAAACAAACAAACAAATCTCCCCCAGTGGACTTACAACGCTAGAAACTGGGTTTCGAGACCCGTGGTTGACAAAGCATAGATAGCCCACTGTCTGGTGTAGAATCAATTAAAGTATTTCATTTATGATATAGATAATGAAATTAAAAAACAAATAAACATAAATCATGTGTGATCGATGCCCTTTGAGTCCTTGCGCAATTCACTGATGTGACAAAGAGGACTGCATGCACGTATTAAATTTCTCGGGGAAGGGTGTTTTCTTTGTTTTTTTTTCAATAGCTCATACACAATATTATTTGAAAAAGTGTTACAAAACAATTTTTTCCATGTCTATGGTACAGCTGATATTTAAAGGGCAACATTAGTGAAGCTGGTGCCATTTCAAAATTTTCTTTTGTTCATTACTAGATGTGTGTCAAATAATAATTATGTATTAAATGAGGACAATTATCTGCCTTCTCGTTAATATTTCAATGTTATCAATTATTCCATCTGCGATGTTAGAAGTATACCGTTTGTAAATATCAATAAATAAAATATGTTTAAACTAATGTAATTAACCTTGAAGCAAAAGTACTACTATCTACAAAATACGAGTGTGTAGATCTATATGGGGTTTAAAATACTTAACTCTCTATATACAAAACCATACAGGTCCTAAGATAGGGTGTAAATAATATTCAACAAGACGTAAGCTACGGAGGGGGGGGGGGAGAGGTGTAAATAATATTCAACAAGACGTAAGCTACGGAGGGGGGGAGAGGTATAAATAATATTCAACAAGACGTAAGCTACGGAGGGGGGGAGGTGTAAATAATATTCAACAAGACGTAAGCTACGGAGGGGGGAGGTGTAAAAAATATTCAACAAGACGTAAGCTACGGTGGGGGGGAGGTGTAAATAATATTCAACAAGACGTAAGCTACGGATGGGGGGGGGGGAGAGGTTAGTCCCGCGGATTTGAGAGGGAGAGACGCTCCCATTCTTTCTTATGCATACAAATGTGGATTGATGTAATTGTGATCATGTCTCCAATATGGAATGTTTTATATAAAATGAAGTTTTCATCGTTAATTGAAAGCTCGACTGACCTTACATTCACTGCTGCTGTACAATTATTTACAATATATATATACATTTTAATTTTTATTAATTGGTAAATATGGAAAACATTAAATAACAAGTTTGATAATCAACTATTCTGTCGGGGAGGAGGGGGGGGGGTAAGTAATTCCCTAAGTATGGGAAGTGAGTTGCCCAGACTTAAGTTTAAAAATGGCTGCAGTTTAGGCTAACGGGCAAATCCTTGCTGTTATATAGTGGTACAAAAATAAAAAGTTGTCTGTTAACGTAGAGCAAACGTTAACTAACGTTGTTGCTAGAACCAAATACTTCTTATAATTTTTATCCACTAACTAGTTACATTAGATAAACAATACGTTTTATGTAATATATTGTTTAAATTCGATGAAGAGGAACCCACTTTGAGACTAATAATGGCTGGAAACGGCTTGAATGGGTAATGAAGAAAAACTTTAATATAAGTTTAACATAACAGCAAATGTACAACGTTTCGACAAGGTTTTGTCATCATCAGGTACACAGGTAGTGTTTAAATTGTCCGACAGAAAACACAACTTATACATAATGTAGTATATTGGATGTTTATACGATTTATGTTTTTTAACTATAAATTCAGAATCTTATATCAAGTTTATTTTTTACCTTTTAGTCACTCGGGTGTTTTGTTTTTAACTTTGACTGGACACGAGATTTTCAATCACTGTATGACCATTTCATGATTATTTTCTCTTTTTTTTACAGTTGAACAAACCTAACACGAATCTTTTTGATTAAATAATGTAGTGATGTAACTCGTAAGAGATTGGAAAACATAAGGGCTTAGTAAAACTTTATGAACACATTTATTTACACTGAATTTAATATTTCGTAGAATCATAATGGATTACATTTCCCTTTCTTGTTTATGTATACATTTTATAAAAAGCACGAATTTCTTTGTTCTATGAGTAAGCTTTGAATAACTTTTCACTTATAAATATTCATTTTATTAAATATCAGTAAATTCGTTATATTAATTTAATAACTATTAATTCCAGCAAAAATAGAGTATTATATAATATATATGCATTAATCATTCTCGATTAAATACAGTAGTTACCTTTCGTTCTTGTGTCCTGCACATTGTTTCTTGTTTTAGTCAAACAACAGTATAAGCTTAGATAACGATTTGAGATAAGCATACTTGGTTTGGTTTGAATTTCGCGCAAAGCTACACGAGGGCTATCTGCGCTAGTTGTCCATAATTTAGCAGTGAAAGACTAGA